TAGGTGTGAGGCCACAGATGCCACACAGACTATACCCATGCAGGGGGCAGTAGACGTAGCAGGGCTGCATGGGGCAGAGGAGGTGTTGGGAGGCTGCTGGCCTGGCAGCAGATCGAGCCCGCGGGGCAAGGCTATGCACAGTAGGAGGCAGTTGGGGCACCTGTATCCCCCCGCATGACTATGAATCCCTTTTGATTGATTTTACAGTTTGTCATCTGCTTTAATGGGTCTCTTTGCCTTGAAGATAAATTTCCATCTTTTCTGCTAAGGTCCTCAAAGTTTTTGGCACATTCCTTGGTCTTAATGGTATACTAATTGCTTTGGCCCTGGGCGCTCGAAGCTTATCAGTGCTGATGTGTTTTCCCAGTGTGCAGTCTTAGCCTGGTCCCCTCATGCACACTCATGTCACTCAGGCTGCAGGAACTCAACAAATATATGTTTGAATGGACATTCCCATCGTCATCGTTGGTTTAACAGGGCCAATGCGAGGAAGGGAACAACGTCAAGAAATGTGAATGTGTCAAGGACTTTAATGAAGGAAGTCATGGAATGTAGGTGTAATGGACAGGGATGATGTTTTTTTTCATAATACTCCTTATGTTTGGCTTGGAAGTAAAAAATTCCAAGGCTACTGCAAGAATTGTCATTGTGGTAGCCACTCAATTATTCTTGGACAAAGCCCGCCATCCTGAATCTGGGATAACTGTTGGGGATTATGTCAGAAGAGCCCAAATGAAAACTTCCTGTGCTTCTGAACATCACACTTGGCTTTGCTTCCAGCAGCCAGACCACGTTGACACACTGCCCTGTGGTGCCACCGCTCGGTTGGTTGATGGCTGCATGCTCCGGCCAGGCCTGTGAACTGACAAGGGTTAGTCGGGGAACGATCCCCTCGCTTCCTACCAGTTCAGTCTGTCTTCCACTGGTTGTTGGTGTGTCTCTGGGCCGCTGTGAGGATGGTGTGCTGTGGAGAACTGCTCCAGTGTGTACAGTGCTCTGGGAGCCTGACACAATTTTCCAGATAGTTAAATCTATAAAAACCTTCATTTTTTCCTCAAAACTTGGGATATTTCAAGTGAAAATGCTCTCTTTGGTCAAAATTAACTGCTCCAGTGTGTACAGTGCTCTGGGAGCCTGACACAATTTTCCAGATAGTTAAATCTATAAAAGCCTTCATTTTTTCCTCAAAACTTGGGATATTTCAAGTGAAAATGCTCTCTTTGGTCAAAATTGCAATTGCCTCAGTTCTCCATTTCCCTGGTCAAATATCAAAAGAGACTTTCTGCTTCTTATACATGGGCTGAGCATCCACACTATCCAATTCACCAGACTCTCCAGAGAGTTTAACTTCTTCTTTGTGTATCCTAATAGAAGATCGCCACTGGTCTAGGTTAGAAAATAATTATCCAGATTTGGGGCTCATGGAAATGTCCAATTTTATACTTTTCTTTTTTGGAGGGGAGTCTGATTTAATTGGGGAGGATTTGGAAAAAGGGTCAGCAGAGAACAATAACAACAGTTACTAACATTTATTGAGTACATCCTATGTGTTGTGTGTGAAATAGTTTTCATTTAAACCTTTTGGCAACCTAAGGTTGACAGCATGGAAGTTTTAAGAGTTTATATTCCTTGCCCAGGGTTTTATCACAAGAAAAGGACAGAGTCTGGACTCCAACCTCCAGCCAGTGGACACTAGAGCATTTGTTATGTGTCTCCCCAACAAGTGATGATGAATGCTCATGGAAACATGAGTGTCACTGGAACATACAAGCCAATATGATGCTGAGAACAGAAACAACAGAAACGAGTGCAGGTCCTGAATGTGTATGTCTTTCCATATTGGAAAGAAAGATGGTGAGAGGCTGGCGAGTTGTCCACAGTATTTCAACCCATCAGCTGGCCTCCAGAATGCCTGCTTCTCTCGGTTTCCCCTTCTCTGTCTATTCCAGAAGAACACAAACCTCTCAAGGGCCCCTGTTGAAAATTCACAGCTTTTCACAAGTTTCAATGAAGAAGCTATGGCTTCTTTTTTGATACTCATGGGTAGCTGGGTCCTGGAGAGCTTTGAAAGCCTCTCATTTTGCCAGCGGACTGAAGAAGGGAAACTCAAGTCACTGGAGACAAAGGGGAAAATCGCGGGTTTGGCAGCAGAGGGAAAGAAATGGTGTGTGACCAGGGCTGAGGCCGTCTGCACTGGCTCCAGGTGACAGTGTGCTCCTGCTCCGAGGACTTAATTGGCTGATAGAGTGATTGCTTTGGCCAAGGGTCCAATTAATACCCAAGACTTGAGGATTGGTTTTCCAACCTCAGTTGGATGATTTTCCTGGCAAGGACAGGTTACTACTGTAAATTCCATTTGCTTCCCTAACTCTGCACCCACTTTGTAATGTAAGGATATCACTCTGTCTGGTTGATGCCAGACAAGACTCTGTGAGCAGATGGGGAATTTGGATTTTCAAAAAAAGCATAAGTGAGTGTGAGTTTTACGTAGTCACCTTGGTGCTCTATCTTGTGGAAAACATACTAAATCCCTATATAGTAGTAGGCAGGATTGCAAGGTGAAGCAGAGGGGTTAGCCTGCAGGTTTATGCTCCCTGAGAACGCTCTGATCAATAGGCTGCTGTGACAGGCTACGGATCCAGTGAAATCACCATTGAACAAGAAACCAAAGGCATTCAGCCCTTGTGCAAAGAGTGGCATAAGACGGCAGTTCAGGGGTCACAGCCCAAAGGCAGCACGGCTCACTATTGAACAATGGCAGGAGTCCAGGATTTGGATCATGGCTCTGAAATTTACTAGTGTGTGCACTTGGTTAGGGTTGCCTAGTGTAATTCACAGAGCTGGGGTGATAGCACCTCCTCACAGCTGGGCTGCAAGGATCACATTAGAGAGTGTGTGTAAGAGCACAAGGGCATTCAGTTAATGTTCGCTCCCTTCTCTTAACTGCAGGGCTGCGCGGCCGTTCAGCCTGACACTTTATGGGCTTTGGTAATAAGCTGTCGTGGAGAGCCATGTACAGTCCAGTGCTTGGCTTCCAAATAGAAGCCACCTAATAGCAAATTCCTAGGAAAACCAGCTCGCGAGCTGCAGTCACTTCCCTCCCTGTTTAGTGTCCTGCGAATGAGCCCTCTCAGTGCCTCACGTGCGTCGTGTTCCCCTTGCCCCAAAGGCACTGAGGCTGCCCGCTGGGCCACTACCCTTCACAGGGCTTGCCTTTTCTTTTTTTCTTGTTTACCAGATGGATCAAAGTCTGTTCGTTAAAACATTCTTCCTCTCTGTTTACTTTGTCCTGATTTTGAAAGTAGCAAGTCACTTTCTTTGGGCTGCTTGAAGGAGCACTAAACCAGATGTCGAGGTGACTGGGAGTTCTGGAAGACATCCTCTCTCAGTCTCTGATGAGGAACATGATGTATGAGGTAGGCCCCTGGCTGGGAGCCACTGGCCTCCGTTGCAGGACGCGCGCTCACATGCTTCCCACCCTTGTCCAGAGGGCCGCCACCTCTGCTCCTGCCTGCTAAGATTTCTCCAGGGTGCTGTTCCTGAGTCTGCTGCCGCAGGCACCTGTGGTCATCTGGGGGTACAGGGCAACACCGTGGCTGAGGCACAAGCTCCCCATTGCAGAGAATCCATGAGTGTTGGAGTCTGTCGCACGGCCCAGTCCAGGCCTGTGTCATATTGTTTTTCAAAAGAAAGAAAACTCATTCAGGACTCATTAGTTTATCCTTGGCTTCTTACTTCTTTGATCAGTGTAGACAGAGTTACTGCCGCACCCGGCCTTGGCTCAGGACAGGCGCTCCCCTGCCGAAGTGCAGACAGTCACCTCCACTCTGGGCAGCCCGTACAAGTGTAAGCTCTCAGGTCCTTGCCTCCCCTTCCCTTTGTTGGCTCATCAGGTAGAGTGAACTTCAGCTTCCAAGGGAAAAAAAGGAGCATTTTACTCTGCTTCCCAGATGTCAGTCTTCATGAATTTATTCATTTAACCAGCAGTTATTTATTGAGCATCTATTATGATGCAGGCACCGTGGAGCCCACTGAGGAGAGAAGGCTGGCCAAGAACAGTCCTGAGCTCGAGCAGCTCACCGGCTTGTGGTGGGGGAGAGACAGTCAAAGAGGCAACTGTGATATAGCTTGGAGTGCAGGGCCACCAGGGTAAGTGCTGGGCACCGCAAGAAGCTCCCTGGGAGTAGGGAAACTTTCCAAGAGGGAGCAGTGTCTCCACATAGACCTGAAGGATGAGAGGGAGCTGGTCATTTGTGGGATGGATGGGATGGTGAGATGTTCTAGACTGGTCTAGTTTCTGGTGTGGATCAGGCTCTGTCCCATTCTTCAGGAACGGTGGTCGTAGGAAGCCCTGGAATCTCCACTGTGAGACCAGAGCGATGGAGGCAGCAGAATTCCCCAGCAGACCAGGAGTCTCCAGGGGCACTGCAGGATGTCTAAGACTTTATTTTATTACCACAGCCTGGCAACTCAGATCTCATAGATGTGGAGAAGCAATTTTGTAGCCAGGGTCTCTCTTTGTGTAGGTAAGTAGGGTGTGGGTTAAGTCTACCTATTGCTTCCAGACTTTCTTGCTTTTCATCTTTATCCAATTTACAATGAATACTAGGGTGACCAACCTTCTTAATCTGCCTGGGATTGAGGGGGTTTCCCAGATGCTGGACTTGCAGTGCTGACACTGAGAAAGTTCTGGGTGAATTGAAATGAATTAGTCACCCAAGGAATGCTGACCCTATGCTAAGCACTTCTGTGTTATATGATCATATTTCCTCTTTAAAGCAATGTTTTGAGGAGGCAATACTATTTCTATTTTTAAAAAGTTGTAGCTAATAGATGAAATGTGCTTCCCAAGTCCACTTATCTAGTAAATGACAGAGGATGGATTTAAATTAGGCTGTCTGGCTTCAAGCTAACCCTAACCCTAACCCTAACCCTAACCCTAGCCAATAGATAACTAGTATATTAGTTATCTATTGCTGCACAATAAATTACTCCAAAGCTTGGTGGCTTAAACCAACAATAAATATTTATTAATTCACAGTTTCTGTGAGTCAGCAATTCAGGAGCAGTTTAGCTCTGGCTCAGGGTGTCTCATGAGGTTGAAGTCAAGATGTCATTTGGGGCTGCCGTCATCTGAAGGCTCAACTGGGGCTAGAGGATCTGCTTCCACGATGGCACACCTACATGGCTGCACATGTTTTTTATTTAGCTTTAGGAATATCCTATTAGTTACACAGGTCTAATTAGTTATGCTGCTGTATCAGGAGGGGGACTACACATGAGGGTGAATACCAGGAGGCAAGGATCATTGGCGGTAACATAGAGACTGGCTCCCATAGTCACTATGTATTTTATAATCCCACAGCTACTTCTTACACAAGGTGGAGGAGAATTGAGGAGACTCTGTAGGATGAGAAGGATTGAAAATATATATGTATGAGTATGCATGCACATGAATATTCATCATATATGTAAACAGCATTACTTGCATACTCAAATGAGTATACTTTCAAGATAACCACCATCTTGATAGGCTATATATTTATCCTAATGATGTTTCCACTGCACCCATTTTTTTAATATTAATTATGAATGATAATTTATTCCTGATTTTCTAAATGGTATGAGCAAATGTAATATATTATAATCAGAAGAAAGTTATTTTTCCAAATTTTATAATATGAACCCATGTATTATTTTTATAATCAGAAGGAAGTTATTTTTAAAAATATTTTTATGTATACATGTTAACACGTATATGATAAATACTCCTTGAAATTCTACTTACAACCTTATAGAAAAGCAGCCTGTCTGTTCAGATGTTTCAGTAGGTAAAATATATACTGTTAACTAATAGACACAATTATATTTAGAATTATATATTCCATTATATGTGCATATGTATATATACCATTTCCTGGAATGCAAACTAGGAGAAGGGTGGGGAAGGTAGGGAGTTTAGGAAACCGGAGCTGCCAACAACAAGACATTGGCTAGAAGATAAATGGGAAACACTTGGAATGAATTTAACCCACTCCTAGCACAGCGATGCTGGGTGGTCCGTGTTAATTTAAAGGGGCTGGAATGCTATAGTTGCAACTGTTCTTTCTGAACCTTCGTTACTTCATTTGTAAAATCGAGGAAGATGAGTAACACTTGTGCTTTGAATTCCCTGACCGCTGTAAAGAAACTACATGTGAAAATGCTAGGGGTTCTATACCAGAGAAAGGTGCTCGCTGCCCCTGGTCACAGCTGTTATCTCTGCAAGTGTACCGAGATCGCCCCAGGCAGGCCCCATTCCCAGAGCCGTGTCTGGCTCCTGCTTTGCAGCCCCTGTGAGCTCTTCCTTGAGCAGCATTAGCCACTAGTCCTGCTCCAGCTGTCACACACCTTGGCCACTGTGTTTTCCTAAGCTCTGCTTCCATGCGCTGCCTGGAAGCGCACAGTGCTGCAGGTGGAAACAGGCCGTGGGCAGGGCTCTTTGCTTGTGTCTGCTTGCTTGGGCCCCAGGCAGGCCCCATTCCCAGAGCCGTGTCTGGCTCCTGCTTTGCAGCCCCTGTGAGCTCTTCCTTGAGCAGCATTGGCCACTAGTCCTGCTCCAGCTGTCACACACCTCGGCCACTGTGTTTTCCTAAGCTCTGCTTCCATGCGCTGTCTGGAAGCTCACAGTGCTGCAGGTGGAAACAGGCCGTGGGCAGGGCTCTTTGCTTGTGTCTGCTTGCTTGGGCCTGGTGTCAGGTCGGGGGGCTACATGTGCAGGAGGCCTGCCACCTAGTGTTGGGTGCAGGCAGGGCTGGTGCCAGGCCACGGAGCTCCTAAGGAAGCAAGCACAAATGGCTCCGAGGACAGCAGAGGCCGTGCACATAAACCCGCAGCACTGTGCTCCCTTCCTTGCCACTCCAAGGCCAGACAGGAGAACTGAGGGTTTTTTGACAAACATTTCTTTTTCACTCTTTTTCTTCTAAAATCATGCCCAACCTGTCCAAAGAGTCTGGCAGCCATTTGTGTATTGATAAGAGGCAGTTTTATGGGGATGGCATGAGCAAATACCCTGCTAAGACCTTCAGCTCTGTGTGGACGACGTGCTGCTGCTTAATGGAGCACAGCTGGGAGCCTTCTGCTGCCTTCTGATGATGCCCAAGTTCCGTATCTCTGTACCAGACCTCTCCTCTGTGATCCAAAGAGTGGTGGCTGGTCAATGTTTAACAACAAATACTCCAAAGGAAAAAATCCCACACGCCCTCAATCGTCACACTCGCCCATTTCCATGGTGTAAATATTCTTACCATGGTCAATATCAAGCTATTGACAGGATGTCACTGAATGTAGGGGAGAGATGTGGACAATTGGCTCCTGTGACGCAGTGTCAGCCCCTGGATCCAAACGTGATGTCAAATGCGTCCTTTCCATGTCCACTTGGAGGCAAATAATCATCTCCACATCAACAGGTATGAAATGGAACTGATCTTNCAATGTTTAACAACAAATACTCCAAAGGAAAAAATCCCACACGCCCTCAATCGTCACACTCTCCCATTTCCATGGTGTAAATATTCTCACCATGGTCAATATCAGGATGTCACTGAATGTAGATTTGGGGAGAGATGTGGACAATCGGCTCCTGTGACGCAGTGTCAGCCCCTGGATCCAAACGTGATGTCAAATGCGTCCTTTCCATGTCCACTTGGAGGCAAATAATCATCTCCACATCAACAGGTATGAAATGGAACTGATCTTGGAGATGACCATCTCTCCGCCCACATTCAACCTTGTCCCCTCCAGGGTTTCCTATCTGAGTGAAGGGCACCACACTGCAATGGGTTTTGCAAGCCAGACCCCAGACACCAGTAGTAATCCTTTACATTTCCCTTTTTCTTCACCACCACATCCAAACCATCCCCAAGGTTAGTTGATTTTCCTTCCTAAATACTCACAGCCTGTCTGCTTCCCCCAGACTATGCTATCGTATAATCACCTGGATCACTGCCAAGGCTCCTAAGTGGCTTCCCTGTATCTGCTCCTGTGCACACATACTCCCACCCCATTTTCCTAGTATTGGTCAGAGTGATCTTTGAAAAATGTAAATATGATAACATCACTCCCTTGCTCGTTAAACCCTTTAATGGCTTTCCATGGTTCCTAGGATGATAATCAAAATCCTTAGGGTAACCTGAAGCAAACATGGAGGACCCTGCCTGCCTCCTTAGCCTCGTCCTGTGCTGTTCTGGCCACGTGCCTGGTGCTGCCCTGCCCCAGCCACACTGGCTGTCTTTCAGTTCCTCAAACACGCCGAGCGGTTACCATCCGGTCTTCTTTACAAATTGTTCTCTGCCTGGAATTACTTGGTCTGAACAACTCCTTCTCATTCTCAGCTAAAGTGTTTTTAGAAATGCTGTCTTAAACCCCCAATGTGAAGAAACCCCTCTATTCCTCTCTTCCATAACCACCTGTTCTTGGCTTACATCCCCAGCAGCAGTGTATGAAAGTTGCAGTTGCTTCACATCCCAGCCAACATTATTAGCAAATTTAAAAATTTTTGACACTCTAGTGGAGTGATATCTTATTGTGATTTTAGTTTCTGTTTCCGGATTACTAATCGTTGCTTCACATCCCAGCCAACATTATTAGCAAATTTAAAAATTTTTGACACTCTAGTGGAGTGGTATCTTATTGTGATTTTAGTTTCTGTTTCCGGATTACTAATCGATTTGGGCATCTAAAAATATGTTTATTGCCCATTTGAATTTTCTGTTGTATGGAATGCCTGTTCAAGTTCATTGCCTATTTTTCTACTGGGTGGTCATATTCTTGTTAATTATTAGTAGGAGCACTTTACATATTATGGATACTAGACTTTGTGGGTTATACATGTTAAAAGTATCTTCTACTCTTTGCCTTGTTCTCTCACTCTCTTCAAGATATCTTTGAATGAAAGTAAGCTTTACATTTTCAGATTATCAAACATTTTCTCTGTTTTTTTAATTGCTAGTACTTTTCATGTTTTTTAGAATATCTGCTTGTAAGGGTCTGTTGGGGCAAACTCAGGTTTCGTATGTCTGAAAAGTTTATTATTTTTTCCTCATTCTTGAAAAAATAATTTGACTAGGTATAGAGTTGTAGGATGACAGCAATTTCCTTTCAGCAAACTGAAAAAAAAAAAAATTCCAATCTCTTTTGGCTTTGATTATTGCTGATGAGAAGCCAACCTTCAAGATAGTGCCTTTCCCTTGATGGTTTTTGTCTTTTCACTCTGACTTGCATTTAAAACCTTTTCTTTGTCTTTGATGTCCTTCAGTTTTACTTATGATGTGTCTACCTTTGGACTTTTTTTATCCCACAAGGAATTGGTTTGGCTTCCAGAAGCAGAGGGTTTGAGTCTTTCAGCAAGTCTGGAAATAGCTCAATTATTATCTTTTTAAGTATGGCCTCTTCTTCACTCTCTCACTTATCTCCTACTGAACTCTAAGTGCGTGTCACGTCTTTTCATTCTATCTTCCATCTCTTTGTTTCCCTGGGCTGCATTTTAATGATTTCTTTAAGTCTATTTTCTAGTTTAGTAATCCTTTCTCTGGTTGTGCTTAATCTGCTGTTTAACATGTCTCATGAATTTTTAAACTTGAATATTATCATTTTCATTTCTAGAGGTTCTAAACTTTACAAATTTGGTTCTCTTTACAAATGTGCTTTGTCACTTTCAAAACTCTAGAAGAATGAAATATTTATTAAAACATTAAAATAACCATTATTTTTATATAATAGTTTTTTAGTAATAATATATTAAATATGAATTCAGAAATGGCCCTAAGAAAAAATTTGATTGGATAAAGAATTCTAGGTTGAGTTTTTTTTCCCCCACCTCCTTAAAGATGTCTTCTGGCATGCATACTTTCTGAAGAAAAGGCAGTGAATATTCTTGACTACAATGTGCCAAGATGTTCTTGAGGTTCATTGAGATTCTTGGATTTGTACTTTGATATTTCTAATAAAATTTAGAAATTTTTTGATCTTAAAAAACATTAAAATACTTATTTTATATTCTGTTTGATAATTGGTATCTATTAATATATTTATATAAATATATTTTACAGTCCTATATAAAATATATAGAACATAAAATCAAAATTTGGTATTTATATATATATTTGATATTTGATATATTTTATTAAGTATTTAAATATTTATATAGTTTAATTTTATGCTTATTTAATATTTTAATTTATATTTAAAATCTTTACCTGATCTATTCTGACATCTATCTGACACAGACATGTGCCATCTTATACTCTTTAAGGAAAGAGTTGATGCCCAGCTGTGGGAAGAAATGAGATTGGCAGGTAGCCTCTGGGGACCGAGTGAGGGTGTCAGGGCCTGGCTCAGGGCACCTCCGATGAACAATATTCTTATCAGTGTTCTCTGCTGCTGGGTTGGACAAGGATTTGTCAGAGCTGCATTGCAGATCACTTTCTCCTTCTGCTTAATCTTGCTTTCTCCCCCTCCCTTTCACTGTTGCTGATTCTACAAAAACATCTTGTATCCCCAGTTCTGGCCCTGTGGCTGCTTCCAGAGGACCCAATCTGCAACGTGTGTGTATACGCTGTGTGTGTGCACATGCCTGTGTGCTACGTGTGTATGTGTGTGTTGTGTGTACATGTGTGTATGTGGTGTGTTTCTATTTGTGGTGTGTGTGTATATGTATGTGTGTGCATGTGTGCATGTTTACATAGGCGTGGTGTGTATGTAGTGTGTATATGTGTGTTTGTGTGTGTGTCGTGTGCATGTATGTGTTGTGTATGTGTGTTTGTGTGTGTGTCGTGTGCATGTATGTGTTGTGTATATGTATGTGTTGTGAGTGTGTATATGTGTGTTTGTGTGTGTGTCGTGTGCATGTATGTGTTGTGTATATGTATGTGGTGTGTATGTGTGTGGGGTGTGTATGTGTGGTGTGTATATGTGTGTTTGTGTGCATGTGTGTTGTGTGCATGTATGTGTTGTGTGTATGTGTGTGGGGTGTGTGTGTATGTGGCATGTATGTGTGGTGCATGTGTGTGTATGTGGTGTTTGCATATGTGTGGTGCATGTGTATGTGTGTGTGCATGCATATTTATGTGTGTGTGGTGTGTGTATGTGTGTGTGAGTGTGTGTGTGGTGTGTTCTGCAGCTTCTTGCTCAAAGTTCCTTGTTTCCTTCTGTGTTCATGTTTCTCGAGACTTTATCTGTTGGAATTCTTTGAGACTTGTGTGAAGTTGGGCTCCTTTTGAGAGTATATGAGATTTCTTCTACTAGTTGCCTGGGGCATGACCAACTGGGGCCACTTTGAGTTAAACTGTCTGTGATTTTTCAGGACACAAAGGTGGTGTGTATGAGCTGAAAACCCGTATGAGTGCGGGTTGTAGTTACGCGTTCTCAACATGGGCATGTTCCCTACTCCCTTCCTTTTCTGAGTTGATTTCCCACTTACCCTTCTCCTTAGGCTGTAGACATTATGGGCCTCACTTTATACGGTAGTCTCTCCACCATGGGTGGGCTGAGGGCTTAATTTCCTGTCTCTCATGTCACTATGTAGCTCTCAAATGGAAACCGAAGGTCATCAGAGTTCAGTACATAGTTTCGGGTGAAGGCTGGTTTGGATCTTGCTTACTTTTCTCGGTTCCCAGGCTCAGTGTCTTACTTTGAAACTGGAAACTCATGGTTCCTACAAAGTGAGATGGACTCCTCACTTTATTACCGGCACACTGACTCATTAAAATGTTATTTTCCTTTTTTCATATTTATCCAGACTTCATTTATTTTTCTTTTCTGAAGCGGGGGCTGCGTCTTCAGGGTTTCTGGCTCACCCTACTGTTGGAGATAAGTGTCTTGAGGGAACAGATTCCACAGCACAGAGGGCTGCCCGGAGGGCCAGAGCCCCCACCGGAGAGAGTCTGTGCTGACTGGGACACCAGGAGCAAAGACGTAGTGGGAACCGCGAGTGGCCGGAGGAAGTGCGGAGCCGTTTGTGAGAGAATGTCACTGAAGAAGCCGCGAATGTACTCCAAGAAAAACAGTCGGATGTGAGTGTCCCTAAGGCCAGAGCGCACATCCAGAAAGTGAAGGCGCTGCCTCCCAGCTGGACGCGCCCTGACCCTGCTCCTCTTCCTGGAGCAGCAGCAGAGGCACGAAGCTTAGAAACAGAGAAGAGACCCCTGCCCACCCCAAGGCCACCAGGATGCAGCTGAGAGAGGGGAGATGCTTTAAACAAAGTTCCGAGTTTTGATTATTTCAAAGGAACAAACCCACTGATGGATACAAGAGGACTATTCTTGTTTATTCTTACAATTAAACGTGAGCAGATACGCCATGGTGTTTGCCCAAGCCCCCTTCCAGGGGAGGCCGAGAACGAACTCCACAGAACAGGTTGGAACGAGCAGGTGGAGAGGATAAAGATATTTCTTGGTAGAACCTCGTGAATTTCTTTTCATGGAGAGACTACCTAGGGTTCATACTAGAATGCCAAGTAGCTGGAGGGATAAAAATAGTTGGAGAAAATATGGGGCTAAGGGTAGTTTTTGCTTAAAGTAAGAGGGATTTGAGTACATTTATATGTGGTTGGAAATCAGCCTGTATGGAAGGAGAGAGTGAAGGAAAAGGCGTGAGAGGGGATAATCCTGAGAGGGAAATCCCTTTGGACACCGAAGGGGTGGCTCTAGAGCACAGGTGAAGGTGTTAGCCTTAGAGCAGGATGGGGGCTACCTGCTTCATTTCAACAGGGAGGAGGTAGGACGGGCAAGCTTGTAGCCTACATTTGT